CTCTGTGTGAAGTTGTGAAAGTAATCTTGCCCGTTATGTCCTGAAGACCTTGTTTTGAAACTTGGTCATTTTCTGATAGTTCGCACTTGTTTAGGCTTGTTACGTGAATAGAATTTTTGTGTGCCCTTTTGCCACAATTGTGAAATCTGGGGAGTTGCAGAGATTTTTGCTACTGATCTTGTTGGTCTCTACCACATAGCTGGTGGAGAATTTGTTCTGTTTGTCACATGACCAGTGGAGGAATGGGCAACCCTCTACTTTGTAAGAGATTCCAGGCTATTTTAGCAAATGTTGTGTGTTTTCTAGCTGCGTTTTAGGAGCTGGATAACTTGGTAATTCCGTTGCTCCTTATCTTCTGAAAGTCTTGTAGTGAAGTTTCACTTTTTCCATTTGAAGCTTCATGGTCTTTTCATGTGGCTCATTTTTCTGTATTGGTTAATCAAGAGCAGTGATCATTCAATTGAAATTGCCATGTTTTGTGAAGATTGGCAAGCTGTCATAAGTTAAACTCTCTATTGTTGCCAATCTCTACATTCTTGACACCTGGAAACTACTTGCAACTCTTGAAACCCGTCTTGAATCTTTCTTGAGATTGCTTTGTACTTGTTCTTGAAACTGAAATCCAGAAATGGATAATGATTATTGGAATCCTTATTATCTTGATTCTTGTCTGAAATTAATTCTTGCACTGTTCTTGGAATCTAGTTTGAGTTGTCCTTGGAAACCATTCTTGTCTTGACTCTTGCTCTTGTTCAAATTCTGTATATTGCTCTTGCTCAAATCCTGCATATTCTGCTAGTTCTTGTTTCAGTATACCTGTTGATCTTCTTGATTTTTGATTTTTGCTCATATGGACACCTCTTTAGGAGGGGTGACGATTATCAGAAGATACCTATATGAGGTATCCTCATTCCTGTCTCTTGCAAGTGTCAATCTCTGTATTCTGGATGTCTCAGCTTTGACTTGACTCTAGGATGACTTGATTGTAAACTTGCTTAGCCTCCATGAGCTACGAGGTAAAGGGGTAGTCCTTGAAATACTTGATGCCCTAGAGTTTTGTTCCAAGTGAAATGGTTCTTTGATCTGGCTGCTTGGATTCTTGTTTGCCCTTTTGATTAGAAGACATGAATCTTCTAAGCATCTTGATCCCAGCCATTGCTTTGTTCTGTTAATTAATTCTAGTACTTGAGGTGCTAGATCTTGACATCCTGATTATATTTGCTTTTGCATCCGTGTTCTGTTTGTCATCATTGAAATCTCTTTTGTGAGCCTAATCCTTGAATTCTATTGCTTGTTTCATGGTTAACTCGTCTCTCAATTTTGATTGCTTGGTTAAATTTGATCTTGATTCTTGGTGAATGCCATTTTGTTGCTGAATTTTTGAGGCATTCTACCTTGCACTCTTGTGTTCTAATATTTTTCCAAGCATTCATATTTTCTATTGATTTTATTCTGTTGCAATTCTTGAGATCCTTATACGTCTTTTGATGGTCTAGCTTTTAACTTTTGTTAATTGCTAAAATCTGTCTCTTGATTCCAGTTGTTTTGTTAAACATGATCTTGGTTCTGGTTAACCTTGTTTTGTGACAGAATTTATAAGGCATCCATGCACTCGTTCATTCATTCATGATCCATATATCCATTGGATGCTTATCCGTCTTTGATAGAGTTCAAAGTTTTGTTGTACTCGTCATTAAATCCATGCCATTCTTTGCTAACTCGTCTTGTGATGGGTTCGTAGCGTAACCCCACAATTGTTCTTTCGTGGCTTTGGCAGGATTTATTTCTATTCCTTGTGTTTCTCATATCACCCCAGCCTCTAGTAGCTTGTTTCATGGCAAATCTTGTTAGGTAATTAGTGTTCTGCTTTTTAAGATTAGTCGTGATTTGTTTTCAGAGTGGCGCAGCGGAAGCGTAATAGGTCGTGTTCTGTTCCTAGAAAGTGATGAGGCATTTGTTTTGTCTTGGATTGGGTGAAGCCATTCACCACTTGATATGGTCCTCAATTCGAGTTTTGGGGACAAAACTCCTTTTTAGGAGGGGTGGATGTAATACCCCAAAATTTTGTGCTATTTTAGCATTTAAGTAAGGGTTTTTGTGTGAGAAAATATTGTTTTGGGCTTAATAGCCAAAAGTTTGAAAGTTGAGGGACTTAAAGAGGGAAAGATTTTGGATAAGGATCAGCTTCTTTTCTTTTTCTTTTTCCCTCTTTCTTTCTTCTTCCCCGCGGGTCTGCTCTTCTTTCTTTCTTCCCGCTGCAACCGAACAAAAAAAAAAGGGAAACCCAGCCGGCCTTTGAGAAACCGGTGAGAGAGCTTGATTTTATCCTTCTTTTCTTGCCCAAGAACCTGATTTGGAACCCAGAAATCTTCCCCCCTTGCTGGAAAAGCCGGATCTGCTTTGCTCCTCCCTTCCTCACCGCCGGCTGCCCTTGTTGTGGGTGCAAATTCTGGGCATTTTTAGGTAAGAAACAGCCATGAATCTCCCTTCTTTAGCTTGATTTAGCTTGGGTTTACGTTGATTGCTCTTATTTCCTCCAATTTTTGCAAGACCCGTGAGTTTTCCCTGCAGCTTGCCGCCGGCCTTCTTCCCCCTGCCATGTCCGGTTTCTGCAGCTGTAAATTCTGGTATGTGACAGCCTTTTAAGGCTTAAATTGTCCATTTATTTGCTGATTTGTGTGTCCGAAAATCTGCTGGAAAATGGGGAAGAATTTGATAGCTTTAGGACCATGATTTAGTTTAATTGAAGTGGGATTTATGTGATTGAGTGTTAATGGATTGCTTGTTGTGATTTTTGGAGAGAAAACCCCGTGA